TATTCTGTTGTTTTCGGTTGGAATGTTCTGTATATATCTATGAGGTCCATCTGGTCCAGTGTGTCATTCAAAGCTCTTGTTTCTTTGTTGATTTTCTGCTTAGATGATCTGTCTATTGCTGAGAGTGGAGTGTTGAGGTCTCCTACTATGAATGTATTATTATCAATATGTCTCTTTATTTTGGTTAACAGTTGGCTTATGTAGTAGGCTGCTGCCATGTTGGGGGCATAGTATTTACAATTATTAAATCCTCTTGGGTCTAACCCTTTAAGAATGATACAGTGTCCTTCTGTATCTCTAACTACAGTTTTTAGCTTAAAATCTAATGGATGAAAGACCTCAATGTGAGACAGGAATCCATCAAAATCCTAGAGGAAAACATAGGCAGTAACCTCTTCGACATCGACCACAGCAACTTCTTTCAAGACACGTCTCCAAAGGCAAGGGAAAGAAAAGCGAAAATGAAATTTGGAAACTTCATCAAGATAAAAAGCTTCTGCACAGCAAAGGAAACAGTCAACAAAACAAAGAGGCAACCCACGGAATGGGAGAAGATATTTGCAAATGACACTACAGATAAAGGGCTGATATCCAAGATCTAGAAAGAACTTCTCAAACTCAACATCCAAAAAACAAATAAGTCAAAAAATGGGCAGAAGACTTGAACAGACACTTCTCCAAAGAAGACAAGAAATGGCTAACAGACACATGAAAAAATGTTCATCATCATTAGCCATCAGGAAAATTCAAATCAAAACAACATTGAGATACCACCTTACACTAGTCAGAATGGCAAAAATTGACAAGGCAAGAAACAACAAATGTTGGAGAGGTTGTGGAGAAAGGGGAACCCTCTTATACTGTTGGTGGGAAATCAAGTTGGTACAACCTCTCTGGAAAACAGGGTGGAGGTTCCTCAAAATTAAAAATAGAGCTACCCTATGACCCAGCAATTGCACCACTGGGCATTTACCCACAGATACAGATGTAGAGTAAAGAAGGGCCACAGCATCCCAATGTTCATAGCACCAATGTCCACAATAGCCAAACTGTTAGAAAGAGCCAAGATACCCCTCAACAGATGAATGGATAAAGAAGATGTGGCCTATATATACATACAATGGAATATTACTCAGCTATCAGAAAGGATGAATACCCAACTTTTGCATCAACATGGATGGAACTGGAGGAGATTATGCTAAGTCAAATAAGTCAAGCAGAGAAAGTCCATTATCATATGGTTTCACTTATTTGTGGAACTTAAGGAATAGCAGGGAGGACATTAGGAGAAGGAAGGGGAAAATGAAGGGGGGAAATTGGAGGGGGAGAAGAACCATGAGAGACTATGGACTCTGGGAAAAAAAGCTGAGGGTTTTAAAGGGGAGGGGAGTGGGGGATGGGTTAGCCTGGTGATGGGTATTAAGGAGGGCATGTATTGCATGGAGCACTGGGTGTTATAAACAATGAATCATGGAACACTACTCAAAAACTAATGATGTACTGTCTGGTGACTAACATAACGTAATAAAAAAAAATAAATTAAAAAAAAAAGTAAGAAGAGGACCTTCTTACCATGTGAGGCCTTCTCTGCCTGACTTCCGTTTCACAATCCAGAAGCAGGTTGCTGTCCCACAGCTGTGTCACTGCATCATAGACACTTCCTCTTCTATCGCAGGAGGAGTGGGGTTTTCTTTCCATAGAACAGAGGCCCCATCTCCCCAGTACACACATTTGCAGAGAGCTAGATCCTCAGGCCTCCACAATGTCAGCCCCTGCCTCTGGACCCTGCCTTCCTTACCTGCTGCTGGCTCTGCTGTTGGGACTCACAGGTAAGCATTGCCTTGGGGGAGACTCCCCATTCCCTGCCCCCTCAACTTCTCCTTGCCCCTGGACATTTAGGGCCTCCAGGTAAGCACAGGTGTGCTACCCAGACCCTCCACAGAAGGCCATGGACTGGGTGTCATCTGAGAGCATGAAATCAGGGATCTGAGCATTTCCTCTATGGATCTATCACCTGCAGCTAGTTACCAGAGGCGTCCAAATAGTCGATGCAATTGGTAACAATGACAACTTTGTGTGTGTTCATTGATCACAACATCCCTGCCTGATAGCTCAGACTGTACTCCTGATTTGCAGATGGGGAAACTGAGGCAGAGAGAAGAACCAGCCCAGTGTCACCTACCTGAGTCAGTGGAGCAGTTGGGATTCCTGTTCAGGCCACTCAACTCAACAGTTCATTCCGTTCACCATCTTATGCTGCTTGGCTCCTCAGTGGAGGCTAATTGCAGAAACATCAGAAAACACAGAGAGGCAAACGGAAGAATAGCCATCACTTATCACACTCAGAAGTCTCCAGAGTTCCACTTGTGCTGTGTGTACTTACAAACTTTTGTTAATGATGTGCTGGATGTTTCCAATGTGCCAAAATTGTTACTGAAGTTTAACATGTATTATAATTTCACTTAATCCTCAAAACAATCTGTATACTAGCATGCTAGGCTACACTTTACATAAACAGGGAATGAACTTACCTGTGTGTGTGTGTGTGCATAGGAGTGGGCATAGGGAAGGGTATACTCATGCATGTGAGCACACACATGGGATTTTTGAAAACACTTTGCTTTTTCTCCTCATATCACATCCAGTCTATGTGAGATGCACATTGAACAGATGTTTGGCTCCCTGTCTCTCAGCTACTCACCCTCTACTTTAATTCTCTAAACCTACCTCTCACCCTCCACCAAGCTCTTAAGTTAAACAAACTTCTCTCTTAGTAAAATGAGTAGAACCTTTCGCATTACTACCTTAGAGATCCTTCCATGCTGGACTCAAGTGGGCTAGGAAAGAAGGGGATAAAAATTTGGAGACTCCTGCCTGTGTGATCTGCATCTGTAATTATATCCATATGCATATCAGGATCCATTCATCTAGTGTCCACTGATGTCTCCATGCCTCAGGAAATCTCATGAGTGATAATTTTCTAAGTTCCTGAGCACTCACCATGTGCCACACACACCTGGAAATGCCTATGTCCATTATGTCATGTGATCTTTGCATCCAAGGTAGACATTTTTATCACCCCCACCTTGCAGATAAGAAAAGGAGGCACAGAAAAGTCCAAGGTCACTCAGTATAAATGGTAGGGCTAGGATTTGAAACTAGGCAGTCTGATTCTAGATCTCACAGGTCTAACCATTGCTCTTTTCAAATCCTATGGCCCCACTTCCATCCCATGAGATTTCTGCAGATCTTCCAATCAGTGTGTGGAAGGGTTTGGTGTGGTGAAGAACATGTGTAGTTTGCTTCTCTCACATGCTTCTGCTTTCTGGGTATATGCAAGTGTATGTTTCCTCCAAGTCGTCTATGTGGGAAACTCAGCTTCTGATACAATGTCCTAAGTAATTCTCCACTGAAAATAGACTTCATGGTGTCAGAAAGGGTCACATTGGCAAGTCACACATTATACAAATATTAACTTTATACCTACTAGGTGACAAGAACTGTTACATGAACATAGGGCATATTGATGAATAAAAGAGACAAAGAAATGGCCCTCGTAGAAGTCCCATCATAGTGGAGGAAAGGACAGGAAACAATAGACACAACAAATCAGTAAATAACATAGAATACAGAAAGTGATGAGTGTGAAGGAAAACACAATGACAGTACAGCTGGATACGACAATGAGAGAATCTTCAGGGTAAGATGTATTTGAATAGGTAGCCTGGATGGGCATCATTGAGAAGGTAGAATTGAGCAAAGATTGTAAGAAGGTGGGGGAGTGAGCCATGTGATTTTCTGGGGGAAGAGCCTTCCTGGACAGCATGAGAGTAGAATCCTCTTGCTCTACTCAAGCATCTGGGCTTTTATTCTGAATGAAATGGTGGCTATTGCAAGGTTTGGAAGACAGGGGTGACATGATCTGGCATGAGTTTTAGAGTATTCTAGCATTTGGTTGAGAATGGAGTACCACAGGGCTTAGATAGAAACAGCTAGAGCACTCAAGAGCTCATTGCATCCAAGCAAACAAGGAAAAGCACCAAGACAGCAGCCAGGAGGAAGGGGAAAGAGGTCAGATTGTGGGTGCATGCAGTAGGGGAGCCCTTAGGGTGTCCCGGTGCATAGGACTTGAGGTGGGAAAGAAAGGCACCCAAGGGTTGGGACCTAAGCATCTGGGAAAATAAAAGTGCCTCAGCTGAGATATGCAAGCATGTGTGGGAAACTGAGTTCGGTTTACGACATGTTACTGTGACAGGTTTACTTCTATCTAAGACAAAAGTCGAATGGTGTTTGGACATACAAATTGTAGTTCAGGGACAAGGTCTGGGCCAGAGATGGAAATAGGAGGATTATAGATACACAAATGGTAGAGTTTTCCCCTTTCCTTGGCTCCTCTTGACTCTCTGATCCCTCTGACCTCTTCCCTCCCATGTTCCCTCCATTTCTCCCTCCATGGTGCATTCCTATTTCTTCCCATTTTGGTCCTAGCAGTTCAGCTTGCCGACCCCAATCTTCTCCAGACTTAGAAACCAAAGTACCTGATGTTCTTGGTACACCCAAGACCTGCCTGTAATAGCACGTGCCCTCCTTAGGAGGCAAGTTTGGTTGCAAATACTGTTAAGTGCATGGGTTCACTCTGCAAGGGTGAACCACAGATTTTCTCCCTGAGGAGTAGTTAAGAAATGGAAAAGAACACTGGGTGTATGAGTCATGCCACAGCAGGATTTAAAATCCTGCCTGGTTTTTAGGACACTTGGTAAGCAGGAATGATTTCATATTTCTTGATGTCTCCAGGCACTAGCTAGTCACCTAAGCAGGAAATCCAACTGCAAAGTCAAACCTGCTCTGTGCCACATCACTGAGTGTCTCCGTGTCTTCATCCTCATTTGTGATACGGTCTCATGTTACAGGCTCGTGGTGAGGGCTGCATGCAACGTGCCTAGGTCAAGGCCCGCTCATGGTGCGCACTCATTCACTGAGCTGTTGTGGATACACACGTGAGGAGACACCCAGGATCACGTCAGGATGATCTTTGTTTTCCCTCCAGGTGTGGCAGGTGAGGCGGAGCTGCAGGTGATCCAGCCTGAGAAGTCAGTGTCTGTCGCAGCCGGACAGACAGCCACTCTGCACTGCAGTGTGACCTCCCTGTTCCCCTTTGGGCCGGTTGAGTGGTTCAGGGGAACAGGGCCAGCCCGGGAGTTAATCTTCAGTTTCAGAGGAGGCCGCTACCCCCGAGTGACAAATGTTGCAGATACCACAAGGAGAAACAGCACGGACTTTTCCATCCGCATCAGTAACATCACCCCAGCAGACGCTGGAACCTACTACTGTGTGAAGTTCCAGAAAGGGAGCCCTGATGTGGAGTTTAAGTCTGGACCAGGCACTCAACTCATAGTGAGTGGTGAGTATGGCCTGGGCCTCCTTTGTCCCCTGGTTGTGACAAGTCAATAAGAATGCCCTCCGTTGTCTGAGCAACAACTAAGGATCAGGTTCTGAGGTGGGTGCCCCCGACTTCAGCCCCTTCCAGAGATCAGGGAGTTGAGGCCTGGGGAGGTCATGCTATTTGTTCAAGGTCACAGGGCTGGAAAACAGTGGGAAAATCTAGAACTCCAGTCTGCGAGCCCCACTACTCTTCCCTTTTCCAATCCTGAGCAGCCCTCTTGTCCAGGAATGAGGGACTAATAGTCTGAGTGACTTGCTCAGTCATATGGCCCAATGTTACTCTTGCCTCCAGAGAGTGCTCCCCTGCATGTGGCTGACTCTTCTCTACTCAGCACTTACTGAGCACCTGCTGTGTGCAGGCTCCGCTCTGGGTGCTGGGGAAGCAGCAGGGAACAAAACAGACAAGGGCTCCTCTCTCATGAAGCTGACATTCCCTTCCTTTCCTGTGGACCAAGGCACTCAGGGCAGGGAGGTGGGACAACGTCTTTCTTTCTCTCAGCTTCAGAAGAATCACAGTGAGAAGAAACACAGCTCACTGCTTACTCTGAGAGCCCAGGTTGGAGAAGATGCCAGAGGTTGGGCATTTGCTGTGGGTCCGTCCAGAAAAGCTCCATGCAATTGCGGGACTGACTCACATAATAGCGACTGAATCTCCCCACAGCCCGTGGACAGAGGCATGAAGGTGGCTGTATCCTGACTGGGCAGGTGTTACAGAAGTTCCCAGGGGTACTTCCCATGCCTGGGCACCAGCACTAGTACGTGGCTCCACCACCAGGCAGATCTGTGCCTCCTAGGAGAACACTCCTTCCTCCTCCCCAAGCTGCCCACACAGGTGATGCCCTGGATGAGAATGGATGGAGTCAGAAGGGACCATCTCAGCCCCTTTTACAGATGAGGACACTGAGGCTCAGCAGATCTGGCCTGAGCAGGGAAGGGAACCACAGCCTGGCTCACAGCCCTGCTCTCTGCACACTCACTGTGCTGGCCAAAGTGGGAGAAAGTTCCAACCGTCTGTCCTTGAAACTCTTGTAAATCTTGTACTGTTCTCTTTTTCAGCAGTAAGCATTAAGAAAACTCACGGGGAGAGGTGGGCTAGCTTTGCACCCCCAGATCAGACAGACATGCAAACATCTTGTAAAGTGTTGAGCCTGTTCCTGGAAGGCATGGCTCCTCACATGTAAGAGCATCAGGAGTCTTTCCCTGTTGTGTGGTGTTGATCCTTCACTGAGCAGCCTGGGCCAGGAACCTGGACAGAACAGAGGGTCCCCGCAAACCCAGCAACACTGGGCAGCCCATTCCTGGTTCTGCAGCCTGAGGATGACTGGGAGGCACATCCTGGAGGGTGTTTGGGGTCCCCTCAGCTAGAGTGCATATTCTAGACTCAGCTGTCGGGACCCCAATCTTCCCTCTGTTGTAACAGAGTCAGCAGGTCTGGGCACCCCGACGGACCCCTCCCCATAAGTGCTTGCAGTGGAGAATCTCAGAGGGAACAGGAGGGTGGCAGGCACTGTCGGGCTGGAGAAGGTGAGACACTTGCTCTGTTGTGGATGAAACAGTTGGAGGCCACAGGAAGTCCCCTGGGAGGCAGTGAGGAGTGAGGAGCAACCCCTTTGTAACTGGACCAAAGTGGGTTGGCTCCTCAGTGAGGTAGAGACAGAGACTGCCCAGGGGGAGCGCTGGTACCCACAAAGTTGTCTTTATTTGTACAGATAAGGGATCACAGGGAATAATTTCCAAAGCCATGATGCTAAACAAGGGCAAGCAGGCTCTATTGATTAGGGTTGAGACGAATATTCCGAGGGGGATTTTAACTCTATGAGGTGGAGGTTGCTGTCAGCCGCTTTCTGATTCATCTGCTCCTTTCCATCTGCATTTCAGTGACAAATTCTAAGCAAAACCGCTGGCATTCCCTTACTTTCCCCTCCTTGCAACCCCGGGAAGGAGAAAGGCATGCTGTCCCATGTCACAGAGGAAGAGCCACGCGGTGCCACGGCCACCCCTCCCGTGGACTGGCCAGCCTGGTCCCGGCTTCCATGGGGGTCCCGCCGCACCCCTGCTTCCCCTGCACAGCCTGCTGCACAGCCTCTCTGAACTCAGTGAGGTTTGCAGGGAGGCGGCTAGGATGGTTGATACCAAGAGTGAGACCCAACAGGAATGTCGTTCCGGTGCCCAGATTGGTGGGAAGTCACCTGGCAGAGGCGAGAAGGGGGACTTGAACTCAGGCCTGGAGCTGCACCTGGGCCCTGCTCCCCGACTCAGAGTTCAGCTCTGGAACCTCGGGTCCTCCTCTGCGGGATGAGGGGATGACATGGCCCTCCCCACGCTATCAGAAGGGCAGAGGGTTCTCCACAGTGTCACACGCGTATCCTTGAAGACCACAGTCATGCTTACTGTTCATAAATGCTCCTCTTGTAGCCAAACCCTCTCCCCCCGTGGTGTCGGGTCCCACGGCCAGGGCCTCGCCTGAGCAGACAATGAACTTCACCTGCAACTCCCATGGCTTCTCCCCCAGAAGCATCACCCTGAGATGGTTCAAAAACGGGAATGAGCTGGCAGCCTCCCAGACCACCGTGGACCCAGAGGGAAACAGCACTTCCTACAGCGTCTCCAGCACAACCAGGCTGGTGCTGGCCCCGGGGGACGTTCGCTCCCAGGTCATCTGCGAGGTGACCCACGTGACCCTGCAGGGTCCTCCTCTTCGTGGGACTGCCAACTTGTCTGAGGTCCTCCGAGGTACATGCCCCTCATCCCCAGCCCAAGCCCGGGTCTGGCCCCCAAGTCTCCGAGCCTGCCCCTCCCCCCACTCTCTGCCCCAGGCGGTCCGTTGCCTGAAGTCTGACTCCTGACAGACCCTCCCACTCACCCTGCACCTAGGTGTATGGTCCCCTCCTATGGTTTTTCATGGCAGCTGGGGGGTGAACACCTATCATGTGCCAAGCACTGTCTGGGTAGGTCATTTAATTTACCATAGCAATTCCAATTATTGAGCACCTGCTGTAATCCGCGCCACCGTGTGCTTGGTGATGTCATTTATTTTGCTGATTATTCTATTCCGGCTACATGCCACGGGCTGAGGATCTTGATTTCACTCATTCTTACCCTAATAGGAGCTACCAGTCCTTGAGCACCTACTGTATGCTGGGCACTGTGCTTAGGGATTTCATTCATGTGCAAAGGCTACCATCAGTGTTTGAGCACCAGCTGCATGCCTAGCCCTGTTCTGGGTGATTCCCTTGCTGTGTGGGGGAAGCTAAGTTCTCGAGCCCCTCCCCCGTGATCTGTCTGTTCCATGAGGTCAGAGCTTCTGCTCTGTGCTCTTTCAGTTCCGCCCACCTTGGAGGTTTCCCAGGAACCCGTGGCAGGGGACCACGTGAAGGTCACTTGCCAAGTGAAGAAGTTCTACCCCCAGCGCCTACAGCTGACCTGGCTGGAGAACGGAAACATGTTCCGAACAGAAACGGCCTCGACGGCCTTGATGGCCTCGAACCTCATAGAGAACAAGGATGGGACGTTTAACTGGACGAGCTGGCTCCTGGTGAACTCATCCGCCCACAGGGAAGATGTGGTGTTTACCTGCCAGGTGCAGCATGACGGGCGGCCTGCGGTCACCAAAAACCATACCCTTGTGGCCTCTGCCCCCCAGAAGGACCAGGGTGAGACCTCAGTGATCCTGTTCCTAGCATCCTGCCCCTGCTCCCTCACCTGACAGTGATAAGTCACCACGTCTGGCCAGCCACCCCCTCCTCCTGTTCTTTCTCACCTGAGCATGGTCTCTATCCCTTCTAGATCTTTCCATCCTCACCCCAGCAAATGTACGTACCTGCCACTCTGAAATTCTGGAAGGGACCCTGAGGACCTAGAGTTTTGAGTCTTGACCAGGCTCCTGAGTGACCGTGTGTGGTCACACCTGGGGTCTCCTTTCTCCCCTTATTTGTGACAGCAGACTGGCGCTATTCATGATCATTCCCAGCACACTTACTTTATGCCAATTCCAGTTCATTGCAGGTCTCCCTTCCTGCTTAACCAACCCTGTGACCTGGAATTTTACAGAAGGGACTCAGGGAGCAATGAGGGACAGATGGTGATGATATCCTGCCCTTAGGCCAGCTGCTGAGCTAAGCTAGTCTAGGGAAACTTGAGTCCCTGAAGACGGACCAGCAACCTGTACAAAAAAAACAAAAACAAACAAACAAAAAAAGCATGTGTTAATTATAGCAGCAGGGCATTGTCCCAAGGAACTATGGAGTCCCCTTTCTACAACCAAAACAATCCTTATTTCTCTCTCATGTAACATCAGGAGGAGGTCGAGCCAGGTTTCCAGGAGTCTTTGTTCCAGAAGTTCTTTCAAAGGTCCATGTTCTTTCCAACGTGCCCTATGACATTGTCCTCATGGCTGGGTCAACACTGGGTCAACGAGTGTTCCTGTCCCTGCTGGCTGGGACAACAGAGAGGGGAAGGCGAAAATGAAGGATTTCTCTTAAAGCCAGGGGTATGTAGAAGTTGCATAGTTGTGTCTAATAATGGCTTAGTCATGGATGCACTTCCAGTTTCAAATGGAGTCGACAATTGTGTGGTCATGTGATTAATGACATTATTTTTTCTATAAAACCAATACTATCACACTCGTAGTAAAATTAATAATAATTCCTAACATCATCTAAAATGGAGTATAGATTCCAATTTTTCAAAGCTGCTTCTACTAACTTTATTTTGTGGACCTAACTTGGTTTTAATTCACCTGTAAGTGCTTAAAAGAATTTTCCTGTGAAACACCTGCATCTCCACCATTCTTTCTTTTGATTTGAAAAGAATCTGAACAGCTAGGGCTACTCAAATTCTTCATTGCATGTTGGATGCCTGTGGTAAGCTGTGCTTTTGAGAAATTTGGTCCTTTTTCTCTGAATTGTCAAATCTCTGCACATAGAGATGCTCATAATATTACCTGGTTATCCTTCTGATGTCTGTAGGGTGTTCAGTGATATCCCATTTCATTCCTGATTTTGGAAATGTGCCAATTCTCATTTTTTTCATCGTCACAACTGCTAGAAGTTCCTCAAATTTATCAGTCTTTTCAAAGAACCCACTTTTGTTTCAGTGATTTTCTCTATTGTTTGTTTTTAATTTCTGTGCTTTTTCTCCTCTTTTTTATTTCCTTCTGCTTCCTTTGGGTTTATTTTGCTCCTCTTCACTTTTTGAAATGGGAACAAAGGTTATTGAATCTAGACTTTTCTTTGTTCACATGCCATGACTGGGCCTCCTTCTGTGCTTGGGGAGTCAGGAGTGTGGAGCCAGCATACCTGGTGTGTGTTCTTCCTCCAGTTTGGAAGCATCTAGCCCACCTGCCTTCCTCTTCCATCTGAAAGATTCCTCCATGCTTGGACCGCATGTGATTTCCAGGGGGCAGGCTTGTTCTGAGCCAGGAGAGCAGGAAGAGATGAGTCTACACATTCTTCTATGGACCAGTTTGGGTTTGGTGTTCAGTCTTTGGTCTTTCACTGGGGCTCAGGCCATAGCCATTACTTCTGGTGCTTCCAGGATGTCTGAACTAGGAATCTTCCAGTGTGCTAAGGCTGAGAATAGATTTTAGGGTTGTCTGGGTTGGCAGCTGGAGCTATGTGCAGGATGCCTATGGGATCCTGCTGTGCCAGGATGCCACAGCCTCCCCTGGGCGTCCCAGGGCTCCAACCACTGCCATCCCTTCTGGATCCAGTGGGTCTGGCATAATGATGCATATCTTTTTCTACATGTCTATGGTATTGAGGTATTTCACAATACTTCTAGCCTAAAAGAGCTCCCTTCTCTCAGTATAGCATGACCACGTATGTTACTGGGACTTGGGGATGGTTGGGGATTGGGATGGTTTGGACCCTGGGAGGGAGGCTCTGAGTTCTCTGATCTTTCTGGTTCTTCTTTCGGGACCCCAAGTTTGCCTCCTCCATTTTTCCTTCTCCCCCTCACCACTCAACTCTGAAACAGCATCTCTCCCTTCCTTTTTGCTTTTACCCCTGAAGTCATGCATTCTAAACCGTGCCTGTCCCTTTTCTTCACACCTATCTTTTTAAAACTTCCCTGTCTCCTTGTATTAAGTTCCTCTTGCTGCTGTAATAATTAGGACACGCTTAGTGGCTTAAAACAACACACATTTTTCCTTCCATTTCTAGACAAGAAAGTCCTAAATGGGGTAGCACGACCGGGTTCCTTCTAGGGACTCTGGGGGAGAGTGTGTGTCCTTGCTGCTCCAGCTCCTAGAGGCAGCCCCACCCCTTGGCCAAGGGCCCCGCACCCTCCGACCTCTGCTGTGATCATCATGCCTCCGGCTCCCACTGGCCTGCCTCCCTCCTTCCCTGGGACGGGTCTCTGTGATTAAATTGGCTCCACTCCGAAAGTCCCGGATAATGACCCACTCTAGACCCTAGCTAATTACCATGCAGGCTCTCCTGCCATATAAGGTACCATATAGTCAGACTCTGGGGGTCCTGGGCCAACTCCCTTTAGTCAGGCATACCTTGAAACCCCTTCCTATGATCTGTGTCCTGATCTTCAGGACACGTTTCCAAATTTTCTCAATTAAACTTGATTTAATATTGGCGGTGAGATTTCCAAATAACTGTCAGGCTCCTTGGCTACCTGCCCTTGTCTGTTTCTCCTGCCCTTTCCTGTGGTTGGTGAAGGTGGGAGGGGAATGGCATAAGGGATGTGCATTTGGATTTGGAGATTATTCTCTTCTGTCTATCAGAGATTTTGCAGTTTGGGCATTGATCGTCAAGGACTAGTGAGAGCCAGTTTTCCATAGAATTGACTGTCCTTTTATTGTTTTTCCTCTGGGTTGAGAGGCCGTATTTGGAGATGAGTAGCTAAGCTGTGTGTTGTCCTCAGCAGCCCACTAGTGCCCAGAGGGCTTTGAAAGCCTTGGCCCCAGTGTCCCTACCCCACATCTCAGAATCGATCTCCCATATTTCCCCATCAGGGTCCTATTCTGGTAGAGCAGGTGCAGTGTAGCTGAGAATTCAATCCTCTCTGTAGCGCTGATACTTTATGATTATGTTGGACCCAACTGTGTCCTCGGCTTTTTCTGCCCTCCCGTCTAGGAGGTAACAGTCTGCACTGTTGCCCCTCAAGTCCTCTGACTCTCATACATAACCTTTCATGTGAGATCAGTCAGTCTTCACTTTGCATTGTCTTTCTCTGAAGGATTAATGCCCAGCAACAGCCACCCAACCCGTACTCCTTATACTTACCAACTCCTTTCCAGAATGCCAAGGTACGTCACTCCTCTGCTTACACCATTGCAGGTCACCGTGGTGAGGTTTCAGCAGAGACAAGAGCAGGACAAGCTGGCACCTACCCTGCTCTACCTCCTCCCTGGGCTGGGGGCCTCTTGGCCAGCCAACTGATAAAGACCCTGCTCCAGATGTGCCCATTAGAGCTGGCTTTCTGGACCCCACCCAGACAAACTCCACACATCAGGTGACTCAGGAAGCAGACTATTAGATGATATGAGAAGGGGGAAAGCTCACTGTGGAGCACTGTGTGATCCACATGTGTGAGAGGGGAATGGAGGCAGAACTGGCAAAGGGAGATGTTGAACACAGTGCAGCCCAGCAAGACTCAACCTTGGACAGAGAGCTGGGGAGCTGATGCACTTCGTGAGTTGTTTTAAATGGAGAAGATTGGCTAAGCCTCTGTACCCCCACTTCTTCCAGCCCTCTACTGTAGGTTGCCTTCTAGAAGCAGGTGCAAACATGGGCAATACAGCTCTTTCAACTGAGAGAAAGTCCGGTGGCCCACCCAGCTGAGACCTGCCATCCTCCAGCACGCCAAGGGCAAATGTGGCGAGGTCTCTGCTCCTTCCTTTAAGATTGCTCCATATATTTCAAATTTTATTTGCATTTCTTTATTGAAATATAAAAGCAAAAATGGGTCATTGCAGAAAGTCAAAGGATCTGAAGGTGTATTTACAGATCCAACCTCTATATCCAACAAAAGATGTCAGCTGATATTGGCACCGGGGTCCAGGCGGGCTGGATGGTGTTTGAAACGCTCCTGAGCATTAGACCCCATTTCCTTGTCTCCCCAGGGTGTTGTCCAGGCAGCAGGCCTCCTGAGGTCAGGTCATCCTGGGACCTCCCTCCTCACCTCTGTACATGGAGTCTTTAAGCCCTGTACATGGAGCAAAGCAGGGCAGCCTTGCCCCTCACTAACCATGACACCATCTGTTTCACTCCACTTGAGGCCAGGCTGACATTTGTCCCTATTCCCCAGAAAGTTTGGATTTGTCTTGGTCCAAAGACAAGGTCTCAGAGTCACCCTGCAGGACAGCAGTGAGGGATTTCCCTGGGTCTGAACCACCTCATCTTTTGACCCTCTGTAAACTATGAGCCTGTTCCCTCATCAGAAAGAGCGTATACAACCTGCCCTATGGGTGTGAGGACCAATTCAGTAAACCAAACTTACACGTTACTGAGTGCTCATTCTCCCCCACCTCTTCCCTCAAGAAGGACACCTGGCAGTAAGAAAGGGGTGAGTGAGATGAAGAACTTCTTGCCCCAAATCTGCCTTGAGCCTGAGTGCAGGGGAAGAGATTCATGAGCTTCAGAGCATTGATAAGCTTGAGTTGCTTCAGAGAGAGTACGTGGAGGCCCCAGGGAATGGAATCCTGGGTCCCCCTCTCATGGTGCCTGTGTCCATTCTTTTCCAGACCCAAGGCTATCTACTCCACTCCTGGTCGCTGTCACCCTGGGCCCAAAGCTGCTGCTTCTCATCATGGTCTCTGCCATCTTTGCCCATAAGAAGCAAGGGCCTGCCTGTAAGTTGTGGGTCAGGGAGGGCAGGCCAAGGTCAGTCCCAGAGGGAGCAAGGTCAGGAAAAGGGGCAGCGCACAGGTCACACAAGGGGTCAGGGCCCGACTGGAGTAAAGAGCATGTGACACACCTCCCTTGATACCCTCAGGAGTCTCAGGGATCCCAACTTCCTGAGATGTGTGTTGGGGGGAGACTTTAGCCTATAAGAGGTGGGCAGGGTCAAAGACTTCAAAGACTGTGCACAGAGTCCTAGGAAATATGGGAAGGAAGTGGGCAGAGGGGCTGAATGAGAGGCAGCTGGGTGGGAGGAACCCTTGGAGATCATCTCTCAGTTATTTGAGCACTGGGGCTCTGTCAGGCACAAGGAGTCCACATTTAGGAGAATGCTGACAGGTGTCGGATGGTGGCTCTGAGGATGGCGTCTGCCTGACCCTCTGTGGGATACACTGGTGGGGATGGGGATGGGAGATCAGGCCCTAAGGGAGAAAGGTTTATGTGGCAGAGTCCTATATCAGGGGCTGCCTGTCCTCTTGCAACAGGTGTCCCAAGAGGAAAATAGCACCGAGGATATAGGAGACACATGCGGAACATTTCTGGAATGATGAGCAGATAACTAACTGTGAACATGGGTCCCACAGGTCCTACCTTCCTCCCCTGCTACATGCCACCCTCAGACTCTGCTGCCTGCTCCATTCCCTGATGGGCCCAGCCTAAGAGAAGGAACAACTAGAAGCTTCCACAATTCTGCCCCAAAGGCCTTGCTCCCCCCTGAGACCCACCTGCCCACAGCTCCTGCTGCTCCTTCTCAGAGTCCTTGATGCCCCAGAGCTGGGTCTTCATACCAGGTCCTCAGCAGAGGCCATGGGAACTTGCTCTGGGGACTGATGCATGGATCTCTGCCTGAAATGTGAGAAACAAGTCACATCTACACGGACCAGGTATCTCTCATCCATCTCCTGGGGACCATGGCCATGAACTACACACTCATGTCCATGTTCTCAGGAGTTATTCCTGCCAAGCCCCAGCCTCCCCAGCCTTGGTGAGGTTCTCCATTGGGTCTTAAATAGAATGCATCCCAACCTGGTTTGCAGAGGAGAAATGATTCTCCTTCTTTGCCTACATGTGCTACTCACAGTCCCGGAGGGAAGATTCCCTCCTCCCTGTGATGGGAACACTGCTCTTCTGTCCCCTTCATCCTTCCCGACCCCACTGCTCGTGTATTCTAGTTGGCAGTCCAGAAGCCTGGAGCCATCCTTAAAATTCTTTCTTTATATCCCACATTCAAGTCTGCCTTCAGAATGCTGTGTTCAGTGGTGAGATGGTATACATGAAACAATCCACTCTCAGAAAGGAAAGAAGCCTGACTAGTGGTGCTTGTGGACTTCTGTGGTGTCAACACTCCCAATGTGACCAATTACAAGCTAACAGTGTTTAACAACTCACTTGCAAAATTCCTGAAAAGCCTCTCAGAAGTGAGTGCAAGGCTCCTCCCACACCCCAGTGAGCTCCACCCAGAATCTACACACTGCTCACTCCCAGGGCTGCTCCCTGGTCTCAGCCACCAGCATCCCTTCCTGGACTATTGCTTTTTCTCTAACAGGCTCTCCAGTTTCAGCCACAGTGATTCTATGGAAATGGAAGTCAAACTGTGTCTCTCCTCTGCTTCTTCCCCCTACGAACCGGCATGGCTCATCTCTCCCTCTTTCAAGCTCTGCTGACATGTCACTTTATTAAAAGTCCCTTCCATAAACCACCCTACATAAAATATCAGTTCCTCTCTCTCACTCTGTGTTCCCACAGCTCATAACCTAATTAGATTGTTTCCCTAGAACTTATGATTAGCTGACATGATAAGTGGAGGCAGTTTTCACTTTGCACAATAGTGCAGGATAGAACAATGATGGTGTAGCTGAAACCATGCAAAGTGATCTCAACAATCAGTGGGAGTTAACAATTTTTCTATGACTTTTAAAAACTTTTTTTCAAAACACAAAAACTCTCCAACTGTCAATTATGAATGTATAGGAAAAAAAAAAACAATAGACCATTATTTATTTGGTGTACTGTCATCTCAAATATTAGAAACACGGAAAAGGTAAGCATTTAATTTTTTTGTAAAGACTCATCAAGAATAGTTTGCACAGTGCTTACCTTCTTCTGATCGCAAAGTTGACCATATAGACCAGTATCTGAATTACCTCACTCCAGTCTCAAATAGGATCAGCATCCAACATTCTATCCCTTGCACTTTCAATGTTGTGAAACCCTTACAATATTAATTTGAATATTTCTGGTGTCACATCCTCTGGGACAGTTTCACCCCCCCTCCCCATCTTGTTCTCCAGTGAGGTGGTAAGATTGCCTCACTCTGCTCCTGTGGCTGCATATCCACAATCTGGGGACCAGAATCCCAGTCACCATTCCCATGGCAGCTATGCCTTCATGAGCCCCACTCACATTCAGTTTGAACTTCACCTCCAGTCTCATCTCTTCTCATTTCTACATCACACTTTCAGCTTTGTGCCAATTCCCTTTTGCCACTATTCACTTTTGTACAATGTCCCCTGGGTTCCTCGCTGGGAGACCAGGAGACAACACAACCACCTGCATTGCTGTCTGTGGGAAAGTGAGTAACGGAGTCACAGAGAACCACCACTACAGGCTTTGAAAGATGTGATGCTTACTTATGGGGATGAGCACCCGTTAGTCGTATAGGGATTGGTGGCCTGAAGAAGAGCTGGCAGCAAAGTTTGTACTTGATGCAATTGCTCATGGAAAATTCCTCATGGTAAATGAAACTGGAATCACGTGTTGGGGGACTGATGTTATTTAACTGACCTATGGCAACTAAATTCGTGCACATCAACACCATGCAAACTGAGAACTGCCTGTTGTGTGTGCTTGTCTCTTCCTCAAATAGGATGTGGACTCTGACAGAGAAGGGACTGTCTGTGTCCGCAGTTGTCAGAACAATGACAGCCATGAGTTTGGCCATCATATTTTAAAAAAATAAATTGGGGACTACTTCATTGAAAACATCAGTTTCTACCAGATGTTGGATATTAAAATACCATTTCACTTCGTTCAAAGCTGGTACATGTACCTAAAACCGTTTCATTAAATACTACTCTCACTTCTTTGTGTTTAAAAGTTCTATCAGAAATTCATATGCTCCAGAAAGTAAGCAAGTGGATTTTCAAAAAATGAAACAATAACCCACTGATTGGAGTCTGTCAAACAGATACAGGAACCTCCTGGAAGAGCTCCCACTGGCCAAGGTGCAAGAGTTTGAGCAACAAATAAGTGATGTCTGGTTCTGCTCTGGTCTGAATGTTCTTGTCCCCACAAAATTCAAGTGTGAGAATCCTCAAGCCCACGTGACGGTGTTAGCCGGTGTGGCCTCCAGAAGGTGAGGAGGGCATGAGTGCTCCACCCTCATGAGTGGGATGAGCTCCTAGAGAAGAGGCCCCCCAGGGTTTCCCAGTCACTTTGGCCACATGAGGACACAAGGAGAAATCTGTAGATGGCCCTTTCCCAACCGGGCTGGCTCCATGATTTCAGACTCCAGCCTCTACAACTATGAGCAAGAGCTTTCTTTTGATTATTAGCCACCCAGTCCGGGATACTTTGTTGTAACTGCATGAATGTCTAAGACTGATTATAACCGCTCACGTAAAATAAATATCTTTGAGCCCATATTGATATAAATTAATAACTGAATAAATTACTAAATTGAGAAGAGAAGATGTCCTGTGCAGAGAAGTCCCAAATGATGTATGTGGATACTTCACTTAAGGAGGGGATCCTAACTGACCACTCCTGGAGTGTAGGCACTTGTGGTGATTCCCCTCCAAAGAGGAGAGAATGGAAAGGAGGGAAAAAAAGTAACTACAGAGGGGACACCTGACAAATACAGTGCAGCCAGGTGATCACGAGTTCACCAACAATCATAAACCACTGCCACAGTGTGTATCCTGGATTAATGTGATGAAAGCGGTACTTTTCCTCTGTGACCTTCCTCTCCAAACCCATCACCGCAGTCTGCTTATGAGATAAGGATCCTACAGATTACAATGAGGCACATTCCACGATATAGGTGAGCAGCAGTCCTCAAAACTGTCAGGCCATCACAAGCCAGGAATGTCTGAGAAGCTGTCACAGCTGAGAGGAGCCTAAAGAGACATGACAAGTAAATGTAATGTGGTAATCTGCATGGAATTCTGGAACAGAAAGGGACATGGGGTAAAAACTAAGGAAATCCTTTCAGGACTGAATTTATTTCTCCAAAGTTCAAATGTTGAAATCTGAAATCCAGCGTGATGGGATTTGGAGGTGGGGTCTTTGCAGATAATGAGGTCATGAGGGTGGAGTCCTCAGGAATGGGATCATTGTCCTCACAAAAAGAGACTAGCCAGCCAGCTCACCCCATCCACCATGCGAGAATACAAGTAGTTGGCGGTCTGCAATTGTAAAGCGCGTTCTCATCACAATCCAAGCATCCTGGCACCCTGATTTCAGACTTCCAGCCTTTGGGACCTTGCGAACTAAGTTCCTGTTGTTTCAAGGCATCTGGTTTATGGTGTTTTATTATAGCAGCCCAAGCTAAGACAAAATCAAAATAAACTATGTATTTTGGTTCATAAGGATGTACCAATATTGGTTCATTAACTAGAACAGATGCACCAAATTACTGTAAGATGCCAATAAGAGAGAAAACTGTATTCAGCTATATACTGGAACTCTATACTATTGTCCCAAATTTCATCTAAATGTAAAACTGTTCCAAAAAAGTAACTCTATTTAAAACAAAATGTCAACATCCTGTCCTCAGCTCAATGTCTGCCTCTTATGCCCCTTTGGGGGACAAGGCAAAGAAATGTGTGGTGGAGAGATTTCCGTGTTTCTATACCCAGGTTTTATGTCACTTCACAAGTCTGAGGTTCCTTCTCTTCTTTCCTCTGTCCCCTGCTAGAGCTCACTCCAGAGCCAGGCACTCAGAGATTCATGAAGAAGCTGCTTCTTGGTCCCCCCATGATATTCATCCTAAACGTTTCCAATTAGAAAAGCCCAGGTTAGACCAAGTGGGGTCAGAGAAGCCTGGGTCCCTGGTTGAGGTGACGTAGCTTTAAGATCTCAGTGGAGGATTGCAGTTAATTCATGTCCTGAGCCCAAGGAATTGAGGTGGAAGGGTCTGTGCAGAGGGTGGGGGAGGCTGTGATGCACCAGGCCTGAGCAGATGGCTCTCAGCTGTCAGCTCTCTTTGGGATGGTCTCAGTTGAGCAGAGCCACCATGCCCAAGGTCATGCCTGAGAAACTTCCACATCCAGTGGCTCATCAACATGGGGATATAAAGGTCCAGCCTCTCACCCCAGCCCAGGACCAGTCTGAAGGAACATCTTAGCACCACAGCTCCATGGAAGATCAGCTGAGGTCTTCTTTGGGACTTCACTACAACTCAACTTCTTCTAAACAATTCTGCTCCCTTCTCCCTTCTCCTTTCCACCATTGGATCCTAAAGCACTCCCTGAAAATGACCTGCTTGTTAATATTCATCTCAGTGACTCTTTCCCAGGGAACCTGATGTGGAAGAGAGAGGCTGTGGTGGGTACCAGAAAAGGTGGGGATCCTTTTGTCTCTATGGGCCAAGCCAGTCATGGAAGGATGGATTATTTACACTACCACACCACATATCATATACTACATACCAAATACATACGCCATATATAATATACCCTATACCACATACTACCTACCAATTCCATGTCATTTAAATATACCACATACCACATACCACATGCCACATGCCATATATTATATAGCACATACCATATCCCATATACCAAAGAGTTTTATATACAAGAGCAATGAAAATCAGAAAAATTGCGTTCTGAAAGGCGTGTGTGTAGACCACCCTCGATGAAGTAGAAGGAAGAGCTTAAAACAGGGAAGAGAAGTGAGGTGTAGCCCATTAGGAAGTAATAGTTTTTATTCATGCAGGAGATGATGATGGAGGTGGTGACATAGATTCAAGAGGTATTTAGGAGGTAAAACTAACATTACTGGGTATGGGACAGACACAAATGCACAAGTAAGGGTGTAGAACATCGGTCCCTTCTTTTTTTGACCAAATGGGCAGAGGATTGCCACATACTGAACAGCATGTAGGTGGAGAAGAGAAAGTCCGAGTGCTACCTATGAACACAGTTTTGAGTATTTGAGCCATACAAATGAAAATTTCAAGGTTAAATTAATATATAGGTCAGCCTCCAAGTAGTGAACTCAGGATTGGAAACTAAATTTCATCTGGTTACAAAGCCAGGGCTCTTGACCATCAAGGCACTAAAAATCCCAGGCTCTGAAGAGTTTAGAGTTTCATGGGAGGTGTGAAGTCTCCTTAAGTTGGGGGGAAGGGTAGGTTGCTGGAGGCTGGTGGAAAGATCCTGTCCAGCTATAAGCAGGGGCCATGGAGGGTTTCTCAGCATGGAATTCATCATCCCAAAGCAATGTGATAGGATGGTGACATCACTGGGGGAAGGGAGTCTTCTCATCCCCCATAGGCAGTTTGGGCCTGCTCTGCATTCTGCTCTTGTTCTAACACTTCTCCTGGCCTTAACATCCTGTTGATCCCTAAGAAGATGTGGGGCTCACAAGGAAGCAATACCAAAATAACCCTAACAGTCAGTACCTGACTATGGACCTGTGGACATTAAAGGGCACTCGCTGAGTGTGGGCTGAGAGTCCCTGGACATAACCTTTGTGCTTGGGCAGAGCCCATTCCAGAGGTGAGAGAGAATGAGGCCAATATGCTGGTTCCTCTCTCTTTCTGAGGGCAGGCATTTCTCAAGTCCCTCCACTCCCTCCCTCCAGAACTGGCCCCAGACCCAGCACAGACAGCAGAGACCACCCTCACCTTCCAACACACAGGGTGTGTTGCTTCCCCTCTTGCAGAGTGTTCCCTTAGCCCCACTTTCCCTGTAGCCCCCTCCATCCTCTAAATCACAAATCATCACCATCTCCAAAACTCTAACCTCTTTCCCACACCATGTCTCTGGGCCTCTAAATCAGCAGGTGTACAGGTTGGGGAGACCTCAGATAGGACGAGGCTCAGGAAAGAGCACAAGCCTATGGATGTCATGCCCTTGACTCTGGAAATCCCAAGCATTTCAAACAGCAACTTCTGCACTTGTGGCCACCTTGTCTGTGCAGTTGGTAATCTTGAAGAAAAAGTGTTGCAGTCCCATGGTCCTCTCTTCACAATCCCCTTCCGCTGACATGATGGAGGCAGGGAGTCTTCTCTCCTCTGAGCACAGAGTCCTGGGCCTCTCCAACACAACACTCACCACCACAACGATGCCCATCCCTTCTTCCCCACCCCGCCCACCACTTTCATCCCTGCTGCGGACTCTGCTTCTAGGATTCACAGGTAAGTGGGCTCAGGTTTGTGGTAGGGACTCCCTTATGCTTGTTTACTGTGTTCTCCTCACCTGTTTACCTGGAATTTCTTGGGGGAGAATTTCTCTAGCCAGAATTTATAGAACTAGATTGGAAGGGCTCCTAGCTCACAAATCTTCCAGTGTCCATGTCTGTTCAACACCCTTTTGTTGAGGGAATAGACACACCCCCATGGTCACAGGCCTGGCCCAGCACACACATTAGAGCTCTCTTCTTCCTGCCCCCCACCCGAACAAAGATCCTGTCTTTTCAATTTATTACCATCACACAGATGCTACCTCTCAATGGAGAACAAATGTTGGGAAACATGAAATTATGAAGCAAGAGAAGAATCCACAATGCTTCCATCCAAACATAATCACTGTTAAAAATTTGCAGAGGTTTGCATGTTCATGGAATATTGGCTGGAAGTGGTCACTAGGGTCTCTCAGGTCAGTGATGGAAGCTGAACCCTGCAGGCTCTCCAGAAAACTAAGCAGTTCTGCCTCTGCTTGCTGAAAAGGCTAAACAAGAATGTGGAGTCTCTTCCCCAAGGCCACGTGGTCCATGTTGGCAGAGGCTCTGAGTCCCAGTTGCCAAAGCAGAAGGCTTGAGGGATTCAGATCAGATGAAAGAGGAAGCCAAGACCATTATCTGAGTAAGGAAGGAGGAAGAAACCTTAGATGATTTAGAAAAGAGTAAAAACTTTTGAGACACCCAGACCCACTGGAGCATGTTAGCAAACATTTACAGAGGAATTAATACCAATTTTGTACAGTATCTTCCAGAAAATAGAAGAGGAGGAAACACTTCCCTACTCATTTCATGAGGGCATTATTACCTTGATAGCAAAATCAGATAGACTGTACATTAAAAAGATAATTACAGACCAATACCTCTCATGACTCTAAATGTAAGAATCCTCATAAAATGTTGTCAAATAGACTTTCACAATGTGTAGTTATATACCATGACTAAGAAGGATTTATTCTGGGCATGCAAAACTGTTTCACTGCTTACCAATCAATTATTGTAATCCATCACACCAACTGGTTAAAAAAGAAAAATTGCATGATCATATCAGTTGATGCAGAAAAAGCAATTGACAAATCTAAAACCTATTCATGATGCAAACTCTCAACAAACTAGACATAGCAGAGAATTTCCTTAATTTGATGAAGAACATCTACAAAAAAAAAATCCCTACAGCTATCATTATACTTAATGGCAAAAGACCAAATGTGTTGTTTTTTTTCCCCTAAGATAAGGACTGAGCCAAAGATGTCCATTCTCAGAACTCTTATCCAGCACAGTACTAGAAATTGTAGGAGAGAGAAGGACAGAAAGAAAGGAAGGAAAGTGAAGGAATGGAAAGGAAAAGAATGTACATTGAAAAGGAAGAAATGAAACATTCCTTGTTTGCTGATGACATGATTGTCTACATAGAAAATCCCAAAGGATCTAATTATTTTTTTTTAAGATTTTATTTATTTATTCATGAGAGACAGAGAGAGAGAGAAGCAGAGGGAGAAGCAGGCTCCCAAGGAGCAGGGAGCCCTATGTGGGACTCGATCCCAGGACCCTGGGATCATGACCTGAGCCGAAGGCAGACGCTTAACCATCTGAGCCACCCAGGCGCCCCCAAAGGATCTAATTATAAAAACAAAACTCTAGGGTTAATAAGTGAGTTCAGGAAGGATACAAGATCAGTACACAAAGATCAATTGTGTTTCTATATAATAAATAGACACATGACTAGTTCCATCAAGATCCCCCCAAAAAAGAGAAATACATAGGTATAAATTTCACATATGTGTAAGACCTATATAAAGAATGCTAGAAAACTGATCACAGCAATCAAAGAAGAACTTAAATAGAGATACATCCCATGTTCATGGGTAGGAAGACTCAATATTGTAAGGATGCCTTTTTTCCCCAACTTGACTTATGGATTAAATGCAATCCCAATTAAAATACGAGCAAACTATTTTATGGATATTGACAAACTGATTTTAGTAGTTTAAGGAGCCAGAAGCCAACTCAGTGTTGTGGAAAAACAAAGTCAAAAGACTGACACCAAGAATAAATAAATAAAGTAAAAAAAAATAATAAAAAAATACTGACACCATTCAGCTACAAGACTTCCTAGAAAGCTACAGTAATCGAAACAGTGGCATTGGTGAGAGAACAGACACACAGATCAATGCAACAAAACAGAAAGCCCAGAAATAGACCCACATAAATACAGCCAACTGAACTTTGGAAAAGGACCAAGATAGTCTTTTCAACAAGTGTTGCTAGAATAATTGGACATCTAGACATCCATGTGGAAGAAAACTGATTCAAGACACATGCCTAACAGCCTTCATAAAAATAACCCAAATGTAAAACACAAGACTATAAAATTCCTAGAGTAACGTAGAAGAACATCTACATGGCCTTTGATATGGAAATTACTTTCTTTTATAGACTGACTTCATATTTGAAGCAGTTTTAGGTTCACACCAGAATTGAGCAGAAGGGACAGAGATTTCCCATAGGACTCCCTGCCCCCACACATCACAGCCACTCCCA